TTGACAGTCTGCCTGGCAGAACCTTCCCCTGCAGCCCCTCTGGCTCAGAGACCCCCCACAGTGAGGGCCCCATCTGCTGGAGGCTCGGTGACCTGTATCAAATGCGCAGGCGCTCGGTCACACTCCAGAGCCTGGCAGAGGCCAAGCCACTCTGGGAAAGCCCTGCAGCTTCTGGCCTGGGGGTGGGCTGGGCTGGGGCCCGGCTGGGGAGAGAAGCCTGGGAGCCTCTGAGCCTGGCGGCGGCCTGGCTGGGCGCCGTCCTCCACAGACAAGGGGAGTGACGGAATATGAAGAGAAAGGGCTTTCCTGCTTCCTTGAGATTAGCGCTGCTACCAAGCCACATGGACCAAACTCTGGGCTAGGCACGCCCCTTCCTCCTCTTCTGATCCCCGGGCAGATGTGTTGGTTCCTACAGGGTGCAGGTACATGTGTGTGTCTATGTCATGTGTGGGGTGGGCCCCTTTGTATCTGTGCAGCGGGGCGAGGTGAATGGACGAGGCTGGCTCTACGCTCACAGGTATGAACACGAGGCTGTGCCTGTCTGTGTGAATTCGCATGCCGGTTGAGAGCCTCCATGCTTGTGACCCCAAAGGCCTGTAAGTCTCGAGTATTTCTGTGTCGCGGAAGGAATGCCTACTTGAGCCCATTTCAGCCTCTGCGTAGGTTCTGCGTGGGTTCCCGTGGACACACATGCCTGTATGTTCATTGTGTGTTGGTTTGTGTGAATATGAATATCCATGACTATCCGACCTAGTGGTGCAAGTCCCTGTGTCCCTATTATAAATCTATGCTTGTCCCTGGGCTAAAATGCATGTGTGTGTCTGGGTGTGCGTATGTGTGTGCACATACATCTGTTCACATGTCTAAGTCATTTCTGCGTCTGTGTGATCTGCTGGGTGTCTGACTCTTGTGTCCCAAGTTCTCCCCAGGGTCCATGAGCGTAGGCTCCAGGAGAGAGCGGCTGTCCTGCAGCACGTGTCTCTGCCAATGACCACGCCCCAGTCCCCAGCATCCCACACGGGATCTCTGGGAGCAAGACCAAGAGGATGTGTTCGCCAGAATTTCTAGAGAATAAACCCTCAAATAAGAGAAAATTCTGTCTCAAGACCAAACCCTTATCATTGTCGAGGGTCTAAAACTTCCAAAGCAGAGAAAGGGATAGCATCCTTTCCTAGTTGGCACTGCTGCTCACCCAAGGGCAGCATCGAGCATTAAGAGGGCATCTAAAAGACACGCTTGCTTCATCTTTGGAGCTTCAGAACAATCCTGAGAAGCAGGCATGACTGTCCCTGTTTTAAGATGAAGAAACTGAAGCTCCTACAAGCAAACCACTTAGCACAACGTCACAGGGCTGCCAACGGGAGTAAAGGGATTGGAACTGAGATTTGCTGACTGACAAGCTAGGAAACTAGGAGCCTGACTTTGTTACAGATGCCCCTCAATTCAGCACAGACACGGAAACTCAGCTTAGAAGCACCAGCTGGCCTTTCTTTCTCCCGGAGAGCTACCCAAGATAGGGCAGTGGGCTCTCTCTTGCCAAAGCCACCACCTCCACTGGCACCCTCCCCCATCCCACTGGGGAGAGTAATGAGGAGAGGGAACATCACTGGTTCTGTGCCCTCGGACAAGCCACGGTTCTTTCTGCTACGCACTGGCGATGACAGTCCCAGTGCACTCTCTCAGGGCTGAGAGGTGTAGGTACCATGATGAATGAAAAGCACTTGATAAAGTACTGAGTCATTGCTCAAGTCTCAGTGACAATTCCAAAAACTTGACATCACAACACCTGTCCACTGTCCAGACATTTCCCCTCCTCCAACAAAAACTGAGACCAGCCCTAGCTCGTTTGGCTCAGTGGATAGAGTGCTGTCCTGTGGACTGAAGGGTTCCGGGTTCGATTCTGGTCAAGGGTACATGCCCGGTTACGTGCTTGATCCCCAGTAGGGGGTGTGCAGGAGGCAGCCAATCGATAATTCTCTCTCATCATTGATGTTTCTATCTCTCTCTCCCTCTCCCTTCCTCTCTGAAACCAATTACATACATATATATATATATATATTGAGACCATCAGAGCTGAAAGGGCCTGAGAGGTCAACTAGTCCAAACCTCCATAAACGCACTCTACAAATGAGGAAACAGATTTAGTTAGAGCAGGGGAGGAACTTGCCCATTCACTGGGCACTAACAATAGAAACAAGCAGAGTAAAAGCCCTTTCTGAGACCCTGTCACCCCCATTGTCTCGGGCCACCCTCTGACTTACCTTAGCAAGACAGGTGGGCTGCCTGTGGTCCCACTGTTGCCAATTTACAGATAGGAAAACCAAGAGCTAGAGAGACTGGACCAAAGTTATTCTTGCCCAGGAAGATGGTGGCAGCCCAAGCGTCAATGTCGTGCAGGTCTAATTAGGCTGGCATGAGATCGGCCTTCGCTACAGGGGTCCCAGCTGTGGTCCACCCCCTGGAGAGGGGCCAGGAAGGTGAGTGGACCAGGAGGTCTGCTGCTTCATGATCGTATGAAGGAAAGGTGATTGGAGGTGACCACTTCCTGAGCCAGAGTCCAAGAAAAGTCAGCATCCCTAGCTGGATTCAGACACAGCTCATGAAGTGAGGGAGGTACTTAAGGAGCCTGCTAAGGACAGGGGCCACTGGCCAGACAAGGACCTTGCCCTGTCCCACTCCATCCCTGGGGGACCAACAAGAGGCAGGACCTATGGTGTTCAGAGCACAGCCTGTGCCCAGGATGGCCCTTGTCACTGTGGATGTGGCAGCTGCCACCAGATCCCCGTCACCCTTCTTCACACTCTGAGGCTTTATTCCACAGTCCTGACTTGCCCTGTGGGGGCCTAACTGGTTCTCCAGCGGGGTCCTGTGATCTGGGACCCCCAGAGCCCTGGAATCTATGAACCCACTGGAGGCAAGACCAGGGAGAGAAAAGATGAAGACTGTGCCAGCCAGACCTCAGTGTGGGACAGAGGCCCCTGCTCACTCCACTCAGCCTATAACTCAGTGTGGGATTTAGAGTCACAGACCAGCTGATGCTGAGGTCCGAGTCAACTTACGATCCTTCAGAGAGTCCTCAAGGGGGAGGGATGAGGAGGTACCTGCATTGCATGTCTCACCCTTCCAATAAGGCCTTCTCTATCTCAATTCCCTTCTTGGTAGCCTCAAGCAAGTCGGGTTAGAGCCAGCCCAGGGCTTCATCGCAAGCTGGACAGCTCCCGACTGAATGCTGGATTTCTCAAGTGCCAGGCGCCTTTTCCCAAGTCCATGCCACTCCTCATCCACAGCTAGTTTCCCAGGACGTGACCCCGATATGACCCTGGCCAATGAGCCAGTCGGGCAGGGAGGAAAAAGAGCGAGAAGGCGGTATGGGGCAGATGTCGGTGAGCCCTGCGTACCACCACCCCTGTCTGCGGCGTTTTTCCCAAAGCCACAGTCTAATACCTCTCGCTCCGAAACACGGAAATCCCGCGCGGCCTGATTACATCGCGGCCACCGGCTGTTCCACCGCGAGCCACCCGCACGGTACTCACCTGGGCCGCGGTGCCGGTGCCGGTGCCGGTGCCGGTGCCGGGAGAAGGGAGCCCGCGTGAGGCGTGAAGCTGGGGCGGTCCGAATCTGCCCGCGCTGGACGCGCTCTCGGGCGGCCCAGTGGCGGCGCTGAGTCTAAAAGGAGAAGAGGGGACAGGAGACGCGCCGGGGAGACGCGCAGGGGACAGCTCTATGCCC